GTCATTTATTCTCTTACATACAATTCTAGGGATACGTTCACATGGTTATTCTTTTTCTTTGCCATTCTTATACCTTTGTTATTACATTTAAAAGGTTATAAGGTACAGTTTGGATTGTTTTGTTTACCATCCCTAGCGCCTGTTGTGACACCACCTTATTTTCTCTTTCTTTTCTTTTCTCTCTCCCTTCCTTCTCTACTTCCTTCCTTCTTGCTCTCCTTCCCTTTTTTTCTTCCCTTACCTCTCCCCTACTCTTACCCTCTCTCTTCCCCTTCCTACCCACCTACAACGTCTGACAGCAAGCCGTTCCATTCGCTAATTGTCCCCTCGGTTAGGAGATTTCTCCTTAATTCGAGGTTGCTTTTCTCCTTGATTCATTTCTTGTCCGGTCCTCTGGAAAATAAGTTGACCCCTCTCCTGTTAGCAGCAGCCCTTCAAATGCTGGAATCCTGCTATCATGTCACTCTAACCCTTCTTTTCTCTAGATAAGCCAAACCCAAATCTTGCAACCTTTTTTTCCACTAAAAGTATCTATTAGCTCTTGTCCTCAGCATTTTCCTTCTGCAGAAAACCAGAAAGCTACAGAGTTCAGACAGTCTTTGCCAGGGAAGTCCAGCATCCCGGCAGCAAATCCCAAATGCCGAGAGGACACTTGAAGGGGGAAAAAAAGCATAACACCACTAACGGCACGATAGCAAAATAAATAAATGCATAAAACTTTGCAGCCATCGCCCTCCCAAGCGTTGAAAGGGGGCTACGCCAGATAAGGGCATCCTTTGTGGTCTTGCCAGCTAAGCAGGAGAAAGACAAGCTTTCAAAAATAAAAGGCAGCCTAATTGTCCCGGGATGGAGCCCCCTCCGGGGTGGGGGGTTGTGGGGGGGACGCTTTTAGCCCTGCTGTGAACTTTTTAGAGGAGCCCTACCAGAATCACTTCCCCCTGTAAAGGTTAGCCTGTAATCCCATTTTGCTGCACCAGGAGCTGTGAGACTGCAAAGAACTAGAGGCTGCCCTCATCTCAGGATAACAAAGGAGTGAGTATATCGCTTTACAGCCTTTGTTTTATCTCCCGGTTAAGGATGGCAAGGAATCTGGGGTGCCAAGTCGTAGGTTGCCTTTTGGTCCTTGGAAACTTTTCGCCTTGCCGTTCACACTCCCAAAAGCTGCCTTTGACGCATTTGGGAGGGGATGTTTTAACGGGAAGGAGGCGGGATGGGCAGAGTGGAATCCCAGCAGCAGAAAATTCACCTGTCTCTAAGGAACCTTTTGGCTTTCCTGATGGATGGATGGATCCGGTGTGCGTGTGTGTGTGTGTGTGTGTGTGTGTGTGTGTGTGTGTGTGTGTGTGTTTGCAAGATTGGGTTGAGCCCCTGGTGGGAATTAAAACCTAATTCGCCTTGCCTCCCTCCAGATTCAAGTAGGTGTGTTTTGAAGCATCTCTTCGGCTATCGGATGAAATTGATAACGGTGAAATCGATGTCGTTGGGAGAACTCAATACAGGCAAAATAACGCATTCAAATTTGCATCCTCGTTTTAAATTGTCGTCCCCAAACAAGCACGCTCTTGGCACAAGCACAATATTTGTTTATTTATTTTTCTTCTTCTTAGGTGGTTGCAGCAGCATACGGATTTATTTATTTTTTGAGGCAAGTGTGCAACAGATAACAACATCGCCGTTTCCCCTACCTTGGTGCATCCTGGTTGTGCTGGATTACAACTCCCATTCATTCCAACCAGCATGGCCTTTTGAGAATGATGGGGGTTGGAATCTCTTTTATGGGTTGTTTTTTTTTAAAAAAAACAACCACAGGGAAGGTTGCCCCAGCAATATGGGGCTGCAAGCTTGAATGGAATAAATTGTGTGCGATTGTGAGATTGAGAGAAGCAAGCAATGGAATAAATTGTGTCATTAATAAAACATATTAAACATACAATATATGTTTAATGTGTGTGTGTGTGTGTGTATGTATGTATATGTATATGTGTGTGTGTGTGTGTGTGTGTGTGTGTGTGTGTGTGTATC